TGGCTGGACCGTGAGCGCACCTGTCCGCTCTGCCGCTCGGTCGCTGTGGACACCCTGCGCTGCTGGAAGGATGGCGCCACATCAGCACACTTCCAGGTGTATTAGGGCCAAATGCTGGGGACACCAGGGGGACACTGGAGGGTCAGGGGGCTTCCTGGACTACACATCCTGCCTCCTGCCTTCACTACCTCTGACCACAAAGCCTGGCCTCTGCCTGTCCTCTCCACCTTCTTCCTCCCTCGTCTGCAGTGTAGTTTGTGCATCCTTCCCCTACTGTGGGGAAGTCCTCCTAATTAGACTTGGTCCCCTCCCAGGTAGGTCTCCCATCCCCCCTTCAAGTCGAGGACCTGGTAATATATGAACTTCCCACCTGTTGGTTCTTTTAACCCAGTACTTGGTATTTGACGCTGCAGCGTGGGGAGGAAGCTTGAGATCACAGCCTCCCTGCAATGGCCCAGGCAGTTTAGAATCACTGTGAAGTACGTTCAGAACGCAGATGCTGGGCCCCACCATATACCTGTAATAACTCAATGGTACAAACACTTAGTGTGTGCCAGGCACTGCATCAAGCATCCTGCTCGGATCACCCCCCATCCTCACCACAGCCCTGTAATGGAGGTATAGTTGGGTTCCCCAATGTACAGGTGAGGAAACCGGGGCATAGAGCTTGGTATGGTCACTTTCCCAGGGTCACTCAGCTAGTTGTGGTGGACTGAGTCTCCAACAAAGGCCTGGTCACACATCAGAGCTAGCACTCTTCTCTTTTTTATTTTATTTTTTAAAGAGATGAGTATTCACTATGTTGCCTAGGCTAGATTTGAACTCCTGGGCCCAAGTGATCCTCCTGCAATGGCCTGCTGAGTAGCTGGGATGGACTACAGGTACACCAGTGTGCCTGACAGAGCCTGCACTTTCAATCAGCATGCTGACCTGCCCTGCAGACACTCCAGGCATGGCACCCAGCAGACACGGTTTTTAAAAGCACACAAGGTGATTTCGATGCCCCTCCCTGGTTAAGAATGAGGGGCACAGGCACATAGTATGTTAGATTCGGACTGTGTTGGGAATGTGAACAGTGAGCGCCAGCTCCTGAAATCGACTTGTGGCTGGCTCTGCAGAAAAACTTGGCCTTTAAAATGGCTATTTTCCTGGGCTTTGGCTGGGGTGCTTGATGCCATTTGGAAATCAGAAAAGGTCAGCTTTATGGGTGTCAGATGTGAGTGTCACTTGGTCTGCCATCTTTCTCCCTCTCCTCCCTCACTCAAGTCTAAGTCCTATCAAGGGCTCCTGTGGACACTGCCATTTCCCCTGGTAGCCTTCAGAACAAAAAGGATGATCCGTGTTAAGGATTATTCTGCAAGCCAGGGTGATGGCCTGGAGTCCAGTAGCAACCGGTGCTTCTGTAATCTGTATGGCAAAGCTGCTTCTCCACCTGGGAAGCTCTCAAATCTGGGATGAGATGGCTCAGGGGACCATAGTGAAGCCACCAGAATCTTGCCTGCCCTATCCCTGTCTCGACTCCCATCTCTTATTGTCAACCTCAGCACAATACGCTGGCCTCGGCAGCCTTCCAGAGAGAACAATGAATGTGGCTGGTGAACAGATTCTCAGGCAAGCTCCAGGAGAAATGGAGTGGCCTCCCTGCCACCTCATTCTTAGCCAATATTAATGCATCCCCTCCCCCTCGTAGATTAGGACCCCTGCCCCTGTGAGCCGCTGAGCCAGGACTTTTTCCTTTGCTTGGCATCCCTGGCTCTTTCCTGGTACCCAGCAAGGCATCTCTTCCAGGGCATTGTGGCATCTTTCAAGCTCTGTTACTATGGCAATGGCCATGATGTTACAATCCCACTTGTCTGGATAATCAAGTAGGAAGGCGAAGTGGAGGGAAACGGGGTCAGGTGGATGCGGCTGCTCTGTCTTCCTGCCTTGAGGAGGAACTGAAAGGAGGCAACAGGAACTTCTGCAGCTGGTTTTTATCAGAAAGAGCATCCTGCCTGCGGAGGCTGTCAAAGAGGCAGGCACAAGAAATTGGTGCTGGAGAAGACAGATTAAAGTGCTTGTGTGTGATGGAGCAGATAGAGAAATCCGTGGGGAGTCAGCCCTGGAATTCTGATTCCAAACTCTGTGACTTTGGGCAGTCACTTTATCTCCCAGTAGCCACCTCCAGGGTGGCAAAACCTGCTGTATAATCTACTAGAACCAAGGAAATGAACAATGTAAGTTACTGGCAGATATGCCAATAGTTTTTCCCAAGCCACCCCTCCACCCTCCCCAAAAAATATTCTCTAGCATTCTACAAATAATGAGCCACGTCTCTGATACTATAAAGAATGTCACATGTGGGGGACATTTCCAGGGCAGGTGTGACAGTTTAGGATTTTATTCTCCCCCTCTGGGAGAACATCTCCTATGAGGTTTTCTCCTGGGTGGGAGGATTTAACTTCTGCTTGGCAGGGAACAGTAGTTAATACAGTTTTCCCAGCCCCAGGCTGTATAAATCCCCTAACACTAGTGTGAAAGCAGCAAGAGTCCTCACTAGAAAAGAACAATGGCATTTTATAAACAAGATTCATGAGCATCTGGTTCAAAGTATCCTGTTCTTAATATTTTATGATTCACTGACTCAAGTTCCACAAAGTCCTTAGAAATAGTCCTCTTCATGTAAAAGATCCTGGGAATAATAAATGGGAGAGAATAAGAGAGGCGAGCTTTGGGCCTGGATGTTAATAGTTTCCACAAAAGAGGAAGAAGAGAATACACAGCGCATTAAGGGGGCATCCAAGCTGCCAAAGACTCAAAATTGGAAGGCAGAAATGTTAATGCAAGTTCTGGAATCTTTTAGGACCTCTGCTTTGGGACATGCAGCTGCCTTCAGTGTTTTCATGTTTCCTTAAGTCCTGTTCTGCCAATAAATATCATCTGTTGATGCCACTTATGTTTGCGATCTTGAGTGTCCTTCCCCCTCTTGAAGCCAAGTGTAACTATTTTAGATCAAATGAGAAGAAGCATTTTGCAGAGTGAGTGGTTATCTGAACTCTGGTTTCTGCTAAAGCAGAGCCTATGGAGGTACACCTGTTTATTTGTCACTGCTCACCAGAAAAACCAGTAAGGAAATAATGAGTGAACCAGAAGAAGGAAGAGGACAAAGCCAAGTTAGTGGGTGACGTCTAGTGAAGTCCCAGTGTCAGCCCCAGAGTTTGTTGCACTGGGAGCATTTGTGCTGACAAACACACAAGTCGAGCCTTAGCCCGGGGTTTGACCTCCCAGGCACTACAGGCTCTTCCCTGAGGAGACCCCAGGGTGTCTCAGGTGCCAGCAAAACACACAAAGCTGTAGGATGGGAACACAGACCTGGCACAAGGGATCGGAAAGGTGCCTGTTACAGGGGACAGAATGTGTGGACGCTGATTCAAGAAGGGTTTGCCTGAGCACCACCAGACTATGACACAAACTCAAACTTAATAGCATCAAGTGACAATTGATCCTCTCAGGACAACATTATGGCACCAGCCATGAATACATTGTCAGGCACACCTTTCTGGTTGCTGTTGTTAGAAAACTAGTTCAAATATGGATTAAACAAAAGAATGACTTGATTTGATTCGTGGAACAGTGTGGGTTTCAGGTACAGCTGGATTCAGGGGCTCCAGTATAGAATTTTGTCTCCCCATCCCTTGGAGACAGTGTCATTTTCAGGTGGTTGGATCCCATGTGGTGGTGAGACTAGCTGCCAGCATCTCTGTGTTTCCATTCTACTGCTTTATCAACCTCAGCAAAGAGCATCAGCATTCCCAAAGCTCCAGCAAGGAGCTCATTTGTTTGTTTCCAAACCAGCTGCTCTAGCCTGTGGGATGTGGAACACTGACAAGGCCTGGGTTGGGTGTGCAGTCCTGGAAGTTGGGATGGAGGTGGTGGGGAGGATGGATCAGCCCCTCTAAGTGGGGCTGAGCGTAGGGGAGGGGTGGGTGTCCAAAGGAAAAGGGAAGGTTTATTATCTAAAAAAAATAAACAAGCAAAACAAACAATAACAACAACAAAAAAAACAACCTGTACTCAACTTTGGATGAGACTAAGAAGAGAATAGACCTGGTTGCTTGGTATGTCTCAGGCCAGGCAAACGCAGGGAATCTACCCAACCCGGAGTGGCTTATCTACCCACTTTTGGAGAAATGAATCTGTAGGCTCATTTGCTTATTCATGTGATGCCTCACATAAATTATGGTTTTGTGCACTGACCTTGAACTACTGGACAAGTTCCCCAAACCTGGTGCACAACCCACGGGTGTGGTTTAGGCCAGTCTTTCCCTTAGGGAAGGTTCTTTTTTTTTTTTTTTTT